GTCCCCTCACAGTCTCCTCTGCCCCAGTCTAGGGACAGGAAGATGGTTGGCGACCTGACCGGGGCCCAGGCCTACGCCTCCACCGCCAAGTGCCTAAACATCTGGGCCCTGATCGTGGGCATCATCATGACCATTGGATTCATCCTGTTACTGGTGTTTTGCTCTGTGATGCTGTACCATGTTTTGTCACAGATCTCACAGAACCAAAGAATTCACTTGTAGCTGCCCATCACCTGTGACCCTCGTACTCCACCACTTGCTGCCCTTGCAGGAAGGGCTGCAGGTCCTGCTCCCTGTGTCCCGCCCCCAGATATAGCTGTGTATCCTCACACGCCTGTCTGCGACGGCATTCAATAAAGTGCACGTGCTTGTGATGGTGCTTTGACTTCACCTGGAGAGGGGCCTGCCGGAGTCCCCGGCCTGGTCCTGAGACGAGCCCAGGGGTCAGCCCTGCACAGCTGAATCCCTCCTCTGCCAAGCTTTCAGGGGAGCAGGCGCCTGCTCAGCCTTTGCTGGTTTCTGGCCCCCTGCTGTGGGCAGCAGCTGGACCAGGACCACTGGGTGGAGATTTCTCTGACACCGAGGTAAGGACACTCTGTGTCCAGAACACCTTTGGGCCGAGACAAGCAGGCCTGCCTCTGAGCTGGCTGGAGCACTGGTCTTGCAGATGTGGGCAGCGCAGGCCCTGTGGGAGGGACCCGGCTTTGTGCCCAGGGCAGCAGCTGAAGGAGCGCGGCCTGCAGCCCCTCCTGGGTGAGCGGGCTGCTGGGTCCTGGCCGCTGCCTCCTCCAGTCCAGCGGGCATGTTCCCTGCTCCCCTGGGGTGGCGGCAGCCATTGACCTGAGGGTGGGCAGAGTCCTCCACCGCGGGCTGACTGCAGGGGCCGGAGAGACCCACTGCCTTCTCTGCAAATCGCCGGCATCTCCGAGGTCGGAGCCCACCAGGCTGGCCCCTCCCGGACAGGGGGTCCCGGCCCAGCGCAGCGCCTCCCGGCACACGGTGGCGGCGCGGCCTCCTCCCGGGGTGTCCCTTGTCCCGCGCGGGCTCGCGGCTCAGGCTTCCGGCAGTGGGACCGGCCCGGGGACCGCCCCCTCCCTGCCCCCGCTGCGGCGCCCTATCTCCGGGGCCCGGTCCTCTTGGGGGTCCCCACGGGGGACCATGGACGCGCATGGGGGCGCGTGCTCTCCCCGGGGTTCCGCTGTCGTGAGCTTGACCAGGGAGGAGGCCGGCTCGAGGGTCCCGGGATGGACGGGCAGGCAGTGGGCGCAGCCGCGGGGTCGGGAGGAGGCGCCAGGCCCAGGCGCGGGGTGCGCGGGGTGCGCGGGGTGCGCGGGGGAAGGGCCCGCCAGGTGGAGGCCCCGCGGGGCAGCCAGGGGCCCGCGAACCCGCAGCCCCGAAACGTGCATCACGAAGGCGGAGGTGCGGGGCGCGCTGTGCTCCCGCCCGCTCGTCCGGCCCCAGCGCGGTTCCCACGCGGCCCCCCCAGATCCCGGCTCCCGCCGGCGGGGCCCAGGCGGGCAGCAGCTCTGGGAGGCCGAGCGGGACTCCGGGGCCCGGGGTCCGGGGTGAGGCGTCAGAGGCCGCACGTGTCCCCCCGCGGCGCTGTGGGACCCGGCGTGGGCGGTTCGGCTCCCGGGGGGCGGGAGGGGCGCGCCCGTCAGTAACGCTGGGGGCCTCCTGCCCGCGGCCTGGGGACCACCGGCGCGTCGCGGTGAAGAAACGGTTTGGGAGCCGGGGTCGCGACGCTGCGCTCCAGCCCGGGCGGCAGAGCCAGACTCCGTTTCAGAAATAAACACAAACGGGTTTAACGGGCTCGATGACCACAGCGCGCGGTGGACGGACTCAGGACCCAGATGACCCCGCCCGAGGCTCCTGGGCTGGGCTTTCCCGGGCGCGGGGTCTGATCGCTGGGGCGGGGACGGAGGCGCCGGGGTCCAGGCCGTCCTCAGGAGCCGGTGGCTCCTCCCTGGTGGGACCGCAGGAGCTGTCAGGCCCGGGGGAGGGGTGGGTGCCAGGCACGCAAAAAACGGGGGGACTCTCAGGAGGCTGACCTTAAACTCCATAATCAAGTCGACGAAAAGAGTCAGACGCTGTAAAGTATTTGAAGAGGTTTCCTCTGAGCCAAACAGGAGTGACCTGGCGGGTGACACAGGAAGTCCTGAGGACACAGGCCCACGGTGGTCAGGGCGCAGCCTGGTTCTACGCATTTTAGGGAGACAGGAGGCATAAATCAAATACATTCCAGAAAGACACTGGGTCCGGGTAGCTGACTCACGGCTGTAATCTCAGTACTGGAGGCAGCAGATCATGAGGTCAAGAGTTCGAGACTATCCTGGCCAACGTAGTGAAACCTCGTCTCTGCTAAAAATACAAAAATATACAAAATTAGCTGTGCGTCGTGACGGGCACCTGTAATCCCAGCTACTCGGGAGGCTGAGGCAGGGGAATGGCTTGAACCTGGGAGGCAGAGGTTGCAGTGAGCCGAGATCACACCATTGCACTCTA